TCTCTCCACACTCCGACAAAAACTAGACGAAAGGAAACACATATGCACAGTTGGGTTCAAATTTGAGTTTGCTTCGGTGTCGACTCCAATGTCGATTCCAGTGTCATCTCCTCTCTCTCTCTGCGCAACAGATCTGTATAAATTTGTGTATATATATGTGTGTGTGTGTGTATTGTGTGATGTGTGTGTGTGCGATGGCTGTGTGTATGTGTGTTTGTTGTATTTGTGGGTGTGTGTTTGTTGTGTGTGTATGTTTATGCTGTGTGAGAAGATAATGGAGAGAGAGAAAGCTACTAATAGAGAGAGGAGAAATAGAGCTGCTGTGTGAGAAGATAATGAAGATAGGAGAGAGAGAAAGAGGGAGAGAAGGCTCTAGAAGACGTGATGCGAGAGAAAGGATTTATGGTGATAATTTTTTTTGGGGTCAAAAGTGATAAGTTAAAAATTGATTTTGTGGATCATTGTCCAAACATATTTTACTATTTTCTATTCTTTAAAACTATTTTCAAAATTATATAACCAAACAGATTTTATAATACAAAAATATCAAAAAATATTTTTTTAAAACTTTTCTCAAAAATTATTTTTGAATATTTTGAGAATCAAATGAAAAAGGGCCTTAAATTTGTCGAGACTTCATCCCATGATCTCTCATTTGAGAGAGTCATGGGTGACCACTTAATCAAAGTCCACTCGGTTAAAAAAAAATTTAGTAAAAGAAACACGTTATAAACACTATTTATGTATTTTTAACCTTACTATTCGGACAACATTTTCAATTACATTGCATAAGAGAGGGCACAACATGTTGGAGGGTGTGGTGACCCACATCAATTGCGGGGGCATTGTCTTTGCTACAAGGAAGGATGTCAATCGTGTTGTGTCGTGTCATTTTTAATTATGTTATTTTGTGTCATGTCACTTTCGGTACGTGTCAAATTTGTGCCAATAAAAAATTATTTAATTTGACAATAACTCATATAATACTATTCAAAAATTTATAAAATTCTTATGCTGAGTTTGGTAACATTTTTTGTTTTTATATTTTTTTATAAAAAAAAATATTTTTTTTTTGTGATAAAAATTAAAAATATTTGGTAGCCATTTATATTTTTAAAATTATAAAAAAAAATAAAAAACATGTTTGGTATTATACATTTTGGGATTTTATTAATATTTTAATCCCAAATATCTCTCAATTGGAGACATTCTTTGTGATAAAAAAAAATGGAAATGTTGTTGATAGACACTCACATGCGAGATATACACAGTAATGCATACTATTCTTTTGTTGGGACACACACACATACAAACAAAAGATATACATAGACACACACATACATATACACAAACACACAAACACAAATAAACACACACACACATGCAGATTTATGTATATATAACATCATATATGTAGATTTATATCTATATGTGCATATATATATATATGCATAGATCTATATGTATATATGGTATAAAGTTAAGAAAAAAAGGGGAAATGAGTGATAGAGACGATGTAAGTTTCATATTTGTCTTCGATTTCGTCTTTGTGTTCGATTTGGTCATCGGCATCTTCGTCACTAGTTTCGGGAAGGAGAGAGAGAGAGAGATATGAGGGAAAAAGGCGAAGTGATGAAAAAAAGGAAAAAGGGGTTTTTACTTTTTATAGTTAGTAAAAAAAAAAATCTCATTTTGTTGTAAAAGAGATTTGAAGGCTAGACCTCGTTAATTGATAATAGGAAATTACGTGTGTTTGTAGTTTTTGATGTTTTTCAAAACATCACTTTTGGTGTTTACAAATTTTGACATTGTTTTCAAAACAATGTGGCTTAAAAAAACACAGAAACACATCACAAAACACGTTATTGTTTTTTTAAGCAAAAAGTGAAAATAAAAACAAAAAAAAGCATAAACATGCTGTTACCAAACATTATCTTATTTTTTGTCTACAATACTCATTAAATCTTTATTTTCTATATATGGTACCTATTAATCTTATTATTTGTGTTGAACATTAATTTGACCCATTTATTACTTGTGTAAACTAAACGTGTTATTTTCGAATTTTATGTTGGGTCGGATTCATGTTAACGGATAAAATTGTCACCCCTATCTACAAGGATTGTGTAATGTCAAATATTGTGTATTACATTAAAAGTTATAATGTAATTTTGTCAAGTTACGATTCAATTAAATTAATTTATTATTTAATGAGATTGAATTATAAACAATCACAACAAAAATTAGGGTATTTTGAGAAAATTTTTTTAATAGGGTAATGCTATCACAAAATTTATTTGCTGCCGGAAATACTATTTGAGACGGCTGTTGTTGCCACAAAATTTTTTTGAGACTATACTTATTAAACCGAGGCATGCCATCACAATACTTTTGCTGTAATAAGTAGAATCTCAAAAAATCTTTGTAACGACAACATCTCGTCTCAAATAGTATTTGTGACAACAAATAAACCTTTTATGACAATACTATCGTCACACGTTTTTTTTTCCTCTAAAACGTACTTTTTTTTTTGTGACCGCGAACACTATTGTCGCAAAAAAACTTTTTGAAAAGACGCTAATTCTTTTAGTGAATTTTAAAATCGATCCCCTTTTTTGTTAATATTGCTAAATTTTAACTTGTTTTTATTGGATTATAACTTTTAATTTATACAATAGATTTTTTTCAGATTACTATTGTCCAGTTAGGCTTTAACAGAGTTAAAGCCTAACTATAGGAATTAGGTATCAATCATGTGCATCTATGCCACTTTATATAGCCTGTTTGTTATTTTTGTACTTTATAAACTAAAATTAGTAAATACCAACCCCTTTTTTGTTTCACCAACTTGCTTCTTGGCTTTTTTCTTTTGCTATATCATCAATAGACCATTATTGAGTATATGGTAGTGACTTGTTTTGATTATTCGGCCTGGATCCAAATACCTTTCAAATCACATTCTTTTAATTTTTTTCAATAATAGATCACCGTGTATTGATAGTCGGTAGAGGACCTAGTTATGTAAATGGGTCACACATGAATTTAAGATAGATAATTTACACCGGAAAAATATTGAGAGAAAGTGTAAGTGGGACCGCACTCATTAAATATAAGTGAATTTCATGTCCTCTCATAATAAGTCTCATTTGAATACATGATAGGTGATCTGTCAAAAATAAAATTAAAAAAAAAATTTATTAGAAGGGATTGCACGATATATGACAAGTGGTATATTATTGAACGAAATTGATTAATTTTATGTTAAAAAGGGATTTAGATATGATATTTTGTTATAAATTCAAATGAGATCTATTATATATACATTCTCGATGATCTATCATTAAAAAAAAAAAAGGAAAGAAAGTTTGATTTTGATAATTCGGATGATTCTTGATGTTTCACAGAAGAAGCCTTCCAAACTAAAACTTATTTATTAACACCAATATTCCATTTTGAATAAAAAAAAAAAACTGATGAATACCCAAAGCAGTGCATGTGAAAGGATGGAGCAAAAGTGATGAGCTGTGAGGAAGTTTTTACACTTAGCAGAATATAATTGGAAGTGATCACGACAAAACAATACTCTAATGAGAGAAAAGTATAAATTATTAATTTAACACATATAAAACTCCTATTCATATTAAAAAATTAGTAATCATAGTCCAGAAGGACCAATTATGAAATACTTTTAATATAGAAGTGCACATCTGTCCATTTCTGGCATGGCTAGTCACTTTCAATGAGAATTAAATTCTTTTAATTACATTTCATTAAATTCTTTCTAGGCATTACCCCAATTTTGACATACTTCCATCGGATATTTTTGGCCTCCACTAATCAAAGGAGTTGGTAACGAGCATTGGGTATAAAAGAAAAATAAAAAAGCAATTAGTGGAATTAGGCAAATTTATCAAGCACATAGGATTCAAATATTTCCAATTAGATCCCCCACAAGGATGAAAAAAAGTACAAAAAGTAAGGGCACTTTTGACCTATCACCTGGTTCGTGAACCTGTTGAGCATATTACCAGAATAATCATGCATATTCCCTCCTTCATCATTAAACCTTATTTAGTCAAAACACGTCGAAGCCATTCCCACTCGCTATAACCTGACATACTTCTCTACTCTCTCTCACCGTTTGAAACGCGTGCTCTTCCATTGTCAGACCACACGTGTACCCATATGCCAGCGAGTACAGAATTTTTATGTACTTTCATAAAGAAATAACAACACCCGAGCTACTTAGACCATTCCTGAAACATTTTTCACCGTTTGGGAAACAGAATAATAATTACAGAAAGTTCCTTTTAGTTTTTGAAATTTCACTATTGACGACCTACTTTCTTTTACATACCAAACCTTGATCGAAGTGATTAAAAAAAAAAAAAAAAATTCTTCCCACTACCACCATCTCCACATTCATGGAACCCAATAGCATAAATTTATTTCTACAAGTATATGGTGTTTTTTTTTTTGAGACAGGAGATGGTAAAAGTATTATTATTTTAGATATGTTAGTGTAATTTTAAATTGTACTAATTGCTCAAATATTTATAATTTATAATATAAAATAAAATAAATTTTAATAAATTCATTTGATGATCCTAAGTAGATTCATTCAACGCCACTAACATTTCTCTCAAAATCATTCATATTATACCGTACTTTCAGACACGGGTTATTCTTAATTTAAAAAAATTCAAGTTCTCTATTAATGGATCGGGTTTTAAACTGGATTCGAATTGAGGATATAATTTGATATTTTTTTATTAATATTTGATTCCTAACATATTTAAATATAAATTATAAAAATAAAATTCATTAAATAATTAAATTAAATTGAAATGAAAAATTTTAATTTAAATTAATTAAGATTCAATCTAAATTCAATTCGTTTACAGCTCAAATTACAAGGAATTTAAGTGTAATTTTCCCAAAACTAAATTTTTACCATTTTTAACCGCAAACACACGGCCCCATATCTCAGCTCGCTCTCTCTCTCTCTCTCTCTCCCAATTTCTCAGCTGTATCTCCCTTTCTCTGTCTCTCACTGTGTCCTTATCACACCACCACATCCCCAAGTCCATCCCCAGAGCCAGAATAACATCTCTCTTTCTCTCTCACTCACATACGCAGAAATCTAGAACCACCCTTTTCTCTCTCTATACTCATATACTGATTCATATAATCACACAGACACACCATATATATATTGTTTGCTAATAGTAATGGCGGGAAACGATTGGATAAACAGTTACCTGGAGGCGATACTGAACGTGGGGCCAGCGATCGACGATGCCGGTAAGAAGTCGTCTCTGTTGCTTAGAGAGAGAGGTAAGTTCAGTCCCACACGCTACTTCGTCGAAGAAGTCATCACCGGTTTCGATGAGACTGATCTATATAAATCATGGGTTCGAGTAAGTTTTATATCTCTCTCTCTCTCTCTATATATATATACACACACACACACACACATATCTGATGTTGTTTTTCTGTCTCTCTGAAATTATGGCTAGGCTCAAGCGACTCGGAGTCCTCGAGAGAGGAATACGAGATTGGAGAATATGTGTTGGCGGATTTGGAATCTGGCTCGCCAGAAAAAGCAGGTTTATATTTCATTTCTTCTTTAATCTTGGTGATCTTCCCTATCTAATGAATGGGGAGTCTGCTTTAAAATCGTCCGCCCCGCACCCACAATTCCATGTGCGTGTATGTATAAATGGTGTCTTACTGTAGTTGTTAGATGTTATTTCGAATTGATAACTGAACCACTTACTGAAAATTAAAGGGTGAGTCAAACGCTTAATGCTAAAATATTAGCCGTTGCAGTGGGAGTGAGTGGAGAAATGTTGTGATGTGAGAATTAGAAATCGATTGATTTTGGCGTTTGAATATTGTTAGCTAATAATCGGTTTAAACGGAAGCGTGGTGAATTAATATTCAATGGCCCAGGATCTAAGGGAAGGTGCAAACCCACCAGCTTGTGTGAGGTTCTTGGTTTAATATCCTGACTGGTTTCCCATTGCTGCGCTACTGGTGCTTACTCAGACTATGCTTTGGCTGGCGGTGGGCCCCTAATACGATGGTTTAGGCTGTCGGGTCACAGGCAGGGTCACCAGTCACCACTGCTTCCCTTGTGCCCCTTTTGCACAGGAGAAAATTGAGGCCTCTAGTTCACCCATTGAGTTATTCTCTGGATTTTGGAAAAATGTTTTGCTTTATGCTTGGTTTTGTACACTGTCGCTGAGGTTCTTACAAGAAGCATAATCTGTTTAGATTTGTCTCACCATGGATTTAAGGTTATTAATGCATATCTGAATATTTTAAATGTTCGTAGTCGAAGTCGAATTCAGGTCTTCATGCTCCACATTTGGTTTCTTGCACTTCACATTGTGTGTGCAAAAAATATACATTATGTCCGCATATTGTAAGAGCAAGGTATGCTCCAAAAGCTGAGGAAATGATTACTCATGTCCTAATTGTTATTTCGTGTGTTTGTTATGCCTTCACTTTCTCTTAGACTTGGGGTTGGTGAAGCTACTTTAGCTATTTTTGAACCTGGTAGTTTTTTATGCGTCCAAGCTATTGAATTTTAACCGTTGATGTAGCTTGAGGGAGAGCAAGCTCAGAGGATGGCCAAACGTCGTCAAGAACGTGAGAGAGGGCGCAGGGAAGCGGTTGCTGATATGTCAGAAGACTTGTCAGAGGGGGAGAAGGACATTTCAGCTCATGGTGAGAGCAATAGAGGCCGACTGCCCAGAATCAGTTCTGTTGATACAATGGAGGCCTGGGCTAGTCAACAGAAGGGGAAAAAGTTGTATATTGTATTAATTAGGTATGCTGAGCTTACTTTAACTCCTTATTGTTGTTTTTCTTTTGGTATGAAACTTAGTATCGAATAGGATTCTGGAAAGATTATCTGGCTTTGTGGCACTAAATTTCAGTCGGGATACGTTTATAAGCTCATACTTTAACATGTGATTGAAACACTCATAACCATGGTATGGATTCAAATGTGAGTAGCGGCAGAAGTAGGCTTTTAGGGAATTTTTCTTTGGCAATTATCTTTTTAGGATTTGGGACACACCTTGCAGTAATCTTCTTTTGTATTTGCTATTATTTTGTAAAGATTATGGTCCCTTTGGTTTGCAGGACAGTAGTCACTTATTCCTAATAAATATCATTGCTGCAGCCTTCATGGTTTAATACGGGGTGAGAATATGGAGCTGGGTCGTGATTCCGATACCGGTGGCCAGGTAGATATACTAATAAGAGTTTTTCCGTTTGATGTTGCCTGCTTGATGTCCCTGATGGGACACTCCTCCTTACAGATTTGCTAATACTCCCATTTTTATAGTTTGACATCCTGCGCACTTGCTTATGGAAAATGCCAAATTATCTTCACTCCAACTTGCGTGTGGAGAATGCTGGATAATTTGTTTTATCCTTGTTTTCCTTTTCCTTTAGGTGAAGTATGTTGTGGAACTTGCAAGGGCTTTAGGCTCAATGCCGGGTGTTTATCGGGTTGATTTGCTGACTAGACAAGTAGCATCTCCAGATGTAGATTGGAGTTATGGTGAGCCCACAGAGATGCTTCCTCCGCGAAACTCAGAAGGTTCGATGAGTGAGATGGGGGAGAGTAGTGGCTCATATATCATTCGTATTCCGTTTGGTCCAAAAGATAAGTATATACCGAAAGAACTTCTGTGGCCTTACATCCCTGAATTTGTTGATGGTGCACTTAACCACATAATACAGATGTCCAAAGTTCTTGGCGAGCAAATTGGCGGGGGACATCCAGTCTGGCCTGTTGCAGTCCATGGTCATTATGCAGATGCAGGTGACTCTGCTGCTCTTCTATCTGGCGCCCTGAACGTGCCCATGCTTTTTACCGGCCACTCACTTGGTCGAGATAAGTTGGAACAACTTTTGAGACAAGGCCGACTATCGAAGGATGAAATAAATTCCACATACAAGATAATGCGGAGGATCGAAGCTGAGGAGACATCGCTTGATGCGTCTGAAATAGTCATCACTAGCACCAGACAGGAAATAGAGGAGCAATGGCGTCTGTATGATGGTTTTGATCCAATACTAGAACGTAAACTACGAGCTAGGATTAAGCGTAATGTGAGCTGTTATGGGAGGTTCATGCCTCGCATGGCTGTAAGTACTCAGACATTGTTCTCAAGATTTATAGAATTCTCGGTTGCTTTGTTATAAAAATTATTATTTGGCGGTTGATATTTATGAACCTCAATGGAATTTTGTGATTTTTTTGCTTGCTTACCTGAGCTCTGTAGCTGGAGCCTAGTTTGTTCGATTTAATTGGCATCGGCGAGGCTAGGTTTTAGTGTCGTGATATCGTTGCTCAAATAAGAAATACTATGCATTGTCATGAGAATTTTGTGGAAAATACGATGTAAAGTGTCCTTGTTCAATTTAATAGGAGGTCTACGGCTTGGAGTTTTTGAAACAAAGCTAACTGCTACAAAACGAATTGCATGCTTTGGTATGTTTTACTCCCATTTGGTGAAGAGAACTTCGAACAGTAGTGAATTTTGTTTTTTGCATTGTGAAAGAGCCTAGTTGCACCATGTATTTGGTTGCTTGAGCTCGGCTTCAAATTTTTAATAAGCTTTGAATGAAGCGCAAGAACTTGAGTGAGCTTCTAATCTATCCAAACCAGAGCCAAGCCCGGGTGTAGCTTGGTTTCTAACAAAATGTAAGATGCTTACTAGCTTATGGAGTTGAGCTCAATAAGTTAATTAAATTTAATTTATGCTCAGGCTTGGCTTGTTTTTATAATGAGTTTACTTTGAGGGAGGTTTTGATTGAGTAAGTCATGATTCAAGCTCGAATAGCTTGATTAGTTTTGATCATATGCATCAAAAAATATTGTTAGAATGTGGAGGTCTCCATTGTTTTTCTTGCATTTTGAGAATTTGAACCGATCTTGGACTAGGAAAGAATTTGGCCAGTTGAACCTGATTTTATTTGTTTGTATGATTAGCTGAGTGAAATCCGAGTCGAGCGATGAAACCCCTGTTGTTTGGGTTGGTCTTACAACCACTATGATTTAATGCTTGTCAGTTTCTACAAAGCACATGAGATTCCTGTCCAGTTACTTATGCATGTGAATATCTTCCAAGTTTGCAAAACACTTTATGCAACTTTACCACTTCCTGCAGGTAATTCCCCCTGGGATGGAGTTCCATCATATTGTTCCACATGATGGTGATATGGACAGCGAAACAGAGGGAAATGAAGATCATCCTACTTCTGCAGACCCACCTATTTGGACTGAGGTTACTGTTATTTCGTACTTAATTTTGAAATGCATGAGACAAATTGCCAATTTCTGATGTCAGTCCTCTCAAATTCCTCTGGAATATATTATCCTGGAAAATGTTTTCATTCTTCCTTCAGTTCTGAAACTATGCGATTTTCTAAATTGGTTTATGCAGATTATGCGCTTCTTTTCCAATCCACGGAAGCCTATGATACTTGCCCTTGCTAGGCCTGACCCTAAAAAGAATCTTACAACCTTGGTAAAAGCATTTGGGGAATGTCCTCCATTAAGAGAGCTTGCTAATCTCGTATGTTCGAAGTTTGAAACATCTGTTTTTTGGTAAATTACCTTCTTAAAGTGAATAGCTGAATTGACTTCCTAATTGTGGCACTTCTTTGCTCTCTATTTTTCAGACATTAATAATGGGTAACCGAGATAACATTGAGGAAATGTCGGGCACAAATGCTTCTGTTCTTCTTTCGATACTTAAGCTTATTGACAAGTATGATCTCTATGGTCAAGTGGCGTACCCTAAACACCACAAACAGTCTGATGTCCCTGAAATTTATCGTTTAGCAGCAAAGACAAAGGTATCCTTTTAGTATAAACATAGTTTTAACTTACATATCGTTTTGATGAATTGATTTTTAGATAGGATTATAGGAACACGATATTTGTGTATGACTGTATTATTTTAGTCAGCTTGACTTCCATCAATGCATCTGGATTTTTTTACTTCCATACAGCACATGCAATTGTTTTCTATTGGTTGCAATCAACTTCTTGTTTCGTCCAACCCTAATTTTCTGTGAATAACTGAAGCTTTTGTCTATGACACGGTTATAAAGGTTAATGTTTTTCATTGATTCTTATGTTAGCTTCTGTTCTTACACAAGGACTTTTTGACATGTTATGGGGCTGGAACCAAAAAGTGGTTGCATGTAATCCAATGAATAATATGATCCTGTTTTTAGGGTAGTTATTCAGATACCAGATATCAGAACTAGGGATAATGGAATGGGTTAGGACTAGGGAAGGATCTGAAACAGGGCAGGGCCAATTGTAGAGGGTGAAGGTAAAACCCGAGTTGGGATCGGGATGGAGATGGGTGTAGGATGTTCTCCCCCATTGGTATGTGTTATGCATTGAATTTCTTATTTTTAAATGCCCCAATATGTGCTAGTACTTTAGTGCAGCTTGGCAGAGTCTATGGCTAGGGGCATGACTGGTCCTACTGTTGAGTGTGATTTGTTTCATGTCATTAGAGAGATTTTGGATGCTATTAGAACTAGATATATTTGTTTTCTCATTCTTCTTGGATGGCCTAATCAGAGACTGGCTTTTTGTCCACGAGGGGTTCCATATGGCCACATCTGAAATATGTTTCGTGGGAGATATTCTGTTTGGATAAGTTTGTGTCATGTAATTTTTTTTTTCTGAAGTGGTCTCCTCTCTGTTGTTGCTTTTTTTTTTTTCAATAAAAAAAATCATATAATGGCAGAGAGAAGAATGATCAATGAAGTTGAAATGGTCAGAAAATAACTGCAATGTACTGTAACTGCCGGCAGTAACTTCATATGACAATAACTGTCTGATGGACTCTGTCTTAATTACTTGAAAAGCTTGCCAAGACACTTAACAGAGCTCTTTTGAGGCTAAACCCGATTGAAATCCATCTGGTGTTTGCTTTGTTACTACTTATTAGTGCTAACTAAGATAGGATTTTAGGTTGTGCATCATTTTATGTACCACATTATATCTTTTAAATTTATAATTTTTCTCGTTTTTCTCTGGTAGTTACTACCGGTGATAACATGAATCTTCACACAACACATCGTGACATTGGACTGTTGTTCACACCAGTTGTATTCGTTTTGGATATTCTGGGATGGGTAAGTAGGATGCTTTTCCTGGAATGACCTTATTGTGAAATTTCAAATTGCATGAGCTAAAATATCGTTAGGGTTCTTTTGTTTTGCATATTCTCCTTGGGATTTAGCACTTCGCGGAGAGGACAAGTTCACAGTATAATGAGATACGTACATCATTTGTAGATGCAGTGCTTGCCTGACTGGAAGAGCTGCTTTGTTTGCATCAGTTATATTGTGGAAATTGATAAAGGGTGGATGCTGAAGAGTGTGTTTGTTTTGGGCATGGTGCTAGTGAGATTGTCTTAAGTGTTTGTTTTTATTTATCCTGTACCCCATTGTGAATGAAAATTTGGCTAAGTCGGATTAAGGCGGTGGGAAAGTATTTGAGCAAGCTCTATTTGAGGTGTTGTACCCTGTGCCATCCCTGATTCATTATATTGTGACTTATGGAAGCAACAGGGATTTTGGTGGAGTTGGTGCATCTTAATTCCTAGTGAGGAATGAGACAAGGCTTTTTTACTCTGATGTCTTGGTTTTGCGCTGATGTTTGGGTTTCACATTTTGCGTTCTTTGTTTTTGTCCTAGATCCTAAATCTTTGTTATTTGTCACATTCAGTTTTGCGTGATGAACATTGTGGCCGCATGGATCTTAATGTGTGAATGTATAGCATCTAAAGTTATGTACTCGCTCCACCCTTATTTACCAACATCTTCTAAGCAGCTCATAATAATGTTATAAGACTACTTTTCTTCTATTCTTGCATTGTTTGGCCTAATAACTGTATTGTGTTACACATACCCATAGTTTACTCTTAATAAGGAAAGCAGTGGGAAGGTGAGAAAGTTCTTGTACATTGAACAATGTGAGAGCCAGAGAAGGAAGGTAGATTAATCTTTGTGCATGGAGTGTTTATCCTTGTATGTTTCATATGGACAATTGGGCCTATGTCCCAGTGTAATATGCTAACAATGTCGGAATAGAATAGTTGTCTACCCCTTTGGGGATAGCGACGTCTCTTTAGCTCGCATGTGAGTTGTATCTACCCTCTCTCTCTCTCTCTCTATCTCTCTCTCTCTCTCTCTCTCTCTCTTACATATTCACACTCGCACAGGGTCCTATATAGTGAGACCGAGAAATCTAAAATAATTTTATTTTGATCCAAATTCTTGGCAGGGTGTTTTCATTAATCCGGCTGTCATTGAGCCATTTGGACTTACTCTGATTGAGGTGGTATTCTTATCCTCATTGAACGTTAGCTTTTGCAAGTTGATTTTGTTAAGAAAACCAGTGTAACTTCTTTGTGATTGGACAGGCGGCAGCTTATGGTTTACCTATGGTTGCCACAAAAAATGGAGGTCCAGTTGATATACAACGGGTATGTCAATTCATCTGAATCATCTGTTGATCTGGGGGACTTTATGTATCATTTTGTAAAGGTGTGTGAGGATTAGCTATTTAGATGGATTTCAAAATTGGTGCAGGTACTTGATAATGGACTTCTTGTGGATCCCCATGACCAGCATTCTATTGCCGATGCTCTTTTAAAGCTTGTTGCAGATAAGCAACTTTGGGCAAAATGCCGGCAAAATGGCCTAAAAAATATTCATCTATTCTCATGGCCAGAACATTGCAAAATTTATCTGTCTCGAATAGCGAGTTGCAAACCAAGGCAGCCACGGTGGCTAAGAAGTGAAGATGATGATGAAAATTCAGAATCAGATTCACCAAGTGATTCTTTGAGAGATATATCATTGAACTTAAAGTTTTCATTGGATGGAGAGAAGAATGAAAGTAAAGGAAATGTGGATAGTTCTTTAGACTCTGAAGATCGAAAGAGTAAGTTAGAGAATGCTGTTTTGCATTGGTCAAAGAGTGTCCTGAAGGGCACTCAAAAATCTGGGCCCATAGATAAAGCAGAACAAACTTTCAGTACTGGTAAGTTCCCAGCTTTGAGGAGAAGGAAGCATATATTTGTAATTGCTGTGGATTGTGATAGTGTTTCTGGTCTATTTGAAAGTGCTAGAAAGATATTTGAGGCAGTAGAGAAGGAAAGGACAGAAGGCTCAGTAGGATTTGTATTGGCCACATCTTTTTCCATGTCAGAAATCCATTCTTATATGGTTTTGGAGGGCATGAGCCCGACTGATTTTGATGCTTTTATCTGCAACAGTGGTGGTGATCTTTACTATTCATCTCCTCATTCAGCTGATAACCCATTTATAGTTGACTTATATTACCATTCACACATTGAATACCGCTGGGGTGGAGAAGGCTTGAGGAAGACTTTGGTGCGCTGGATGGCTTCTATTGCTGAGAAGAAAGGTGAAAATGAAGAACTAATTATTACGGAAGATGAAAAGATTTCAGCAGACTACTGCTATGCTTTCAAAGTTCGCAAGCAAGGAGTGGTATACTTTATTATTGTGTCAATTTTTGAACTAGTATTGTATGAAATGCCTCTGACGTTTTCTTAGTTCTATCATGTACCAAAGGTTTGATAACGCAGAATTGTTAACCACATAATTAAAGGATCAAAATTTCATTTCGAAATGGTTGAAATGTCTGATAGGTTTTTGTTTCCAAGGAGAGCGTGATGGAATTGAAATTTTTGGAATGTTTTGGGGTATTTCGAGATATTTCGTCATGTTTTTACCATTGTGTGGGAATGTTTCGAGATGTTTTAGTGTATTTCAACCAATATTTTAGAATATTTTGGAAAAAATATTCTCAATTTTTTTCTTCTTTTCCATTATATTTCAAAATGTTTCTGTTTCTTTTGTGACCGAAACAATATACCGAGAAATTTTGATGGTTGCCCATAATCTATATACTTTACTGCAGGTGCAGGTAGTGGGGTGAATGTCAGGATGTCATGTGTCTTTGTCTAATCATATTGTCTTTACAGGTTCCCCCTGTTAAGGAGCTCCGGTCGCTAATGAGAAATCAGGCTCTCCGTTGTCATGTTATTTATTGTCAGAATGGGAGTAAGATTAACCTAATTCCTGTACTAGCATCTCGTTCCCAAGCCCTCAGGTACAGGTCTACCTATCTACTTTGGCCCATAATTATCTCTCCCTTTTTTTTTTTCTGTAGTGGTTGAGCAGATTTCCATTTTGCAGTTACATCACCAATCAAACTTATTCACCTATCAAATGATCATGTCATCTTGAGACTAAGTTCATGCTTATAAATGTTCATGATTGCCAACTGTACATTTTCATAGATTCTAAGTCCGGACAGCAATAGTTAAATTGTTAGGCTGTCTACGTTGGAATGCGGATTTTTACCTAGGGGCAGTACATTGTGCAGACATATGCCAATATTTAGGCCTGTATCTTAGTTACTTATACATCAAAACCCTAAATAAGCAACAACACTGGGTAGGTTGTGCTTTGTGCCACGACTGTATAGAGACTGTAGGGAGACTCATCAGGGGGGTTTGGTTTAAAAAAGTGAATGAGAAATATTACATTTCACACTGTTAAAAGGGCTATTAGCATACTTTTTAAACCTCAGCGTAGCTTTGTGTTTTAGGTAGGAAATTGCGCTGTTGATATGGAGAGCCTAGATGATTTTATTGTCTGTGTCCCGTGTTGCTTTTGATGGGCATGATTCAACTTGTAACATAATCCCTTGCAGGTACTTGTATCTACGATGGGGTATGGATTTGTCGAAGGCAGTGGTCTTTGTTGGAGAAAGTGGGGACACTGATTATGAAGGAATGCTTGGTGGTGTGCACAAGTCTGTCATATTGAGGGGAGTTTGTAGCGGTGCAAGGAGTCAACTTCATGCTGGCAGAAGCTACCCACTTTCCGATGTTGTGCCATTTGACACCCCCAACATTGTTGAGACTACTGAAGACTGCAGCAGTGCAGATCTCCGATCGTCTTTATACAAACTGGAGGTCCTCAAAGGATAGAAAGCTACACTGTGCCTGTATATATGTATATACAATTTTAGCTGAAATAAACCTCCCCTATACTTGGTCTTTCCATGTTCCTTCTGCACCCACCCGCAACAACCTGGAGAATTCCCATCAGTTGACTTGTCGCTGAAGTGGGTTTCTTGGTTTCTTATGGAGTAGCAAGAGGAAAGATTGCATTATTTTGTCTTCTCTTCAATAATCAATCCTTGGTTGTTTGTATTGGCGTACAAGCTCCTAGTCGAATCTTGTATTGTATAACAGTTTGTAAACCTTTTGTATAACAGTGTGTGTGCCATTGGCACGGCTCTTCATCATTCTGGGGGATTGTTATTAAATTCTACCCAGATATATGGAAATGTTGGTTTTCTTGCCCATCTCTCTCTCACCCCCCCTCTCCCATCCTAAACACACCACAGGGCCCCGGCCAACACTCCCACACCCATCCAAATCACTCACCATGCATTAACGAGAAACCCACTTGAATATAATCCGTCTGACCCAAATCTTGGTAGATGAATCAGGATAAGAGTCCTCTTACCATGATGGGACTATGACAAATTCCAGAATGCAAACAGCTCACGAGACATTAATGTGAAGCATAACAAGTCCCTTTAAGAATTAAAAGTGATGGCCATCATGTCCCTTTGCAAACACTACCCTATTTATTTTTTTTACACTTTTCTCCTTCAACTATGTCTTTCATTTCATTTTGTTCATTAACAATTAAATCGAACACATTGTACTATTAACCATTCAAATTCATAACAGTTTACACAAATCGTTAACTTTCGGCTAATAGGCCACAAAGATTAAGGTTCAATAATGTGTAAAGTGTCACGTATTTAAAAATTTTGAGATATAATACTTTTGAACACATTGTACTTTTGATTCCATTTTCCCCCCAAAAAATTCAATTGAATATACAAGGCTTAGGTCCATGCAGTGCATTAGATCAGGGAGGGACGGATTCAAGATTTTAGTCCAAAGAATAAATATATTTTGGGTTCTGAAAGGGGGGGGGGGTCTTTAAATTTTCGAAGAAGTATGGTGGTCGAGATTGTGTATTTTAGAGGTATCAAACTAGCATATCATACCTGACCAAAAAAAAAAAAAAAAAAACTTACATATCGTACTCTTACAATGAAAAATCACAATCAAGGATTCATGGGAAACCAAAGTCAAATGATAGCTGTGTCTTATGGCATCTGCAACTATACAGGTGTGCAATAAATTCAGCCAATGTGTTGTGAGGGCCATCACGGTCTTGTGTGTCCCTAGTCCCTACTGTTTAACAGACTGGGACCCCTCTATTACAGCCAATTTTCACCAACATTCGAACAAAAAACAAAACCTATTGCTATCATATTATTTATTGTGAATATTTGAATTTTGGTGTGAATGATATTCTTTTGATTAAACCGGAGAAAAAATTGGTAGAGGTGTACGAAAATTGACTTGGACACCTTTGACTATTGAACCAAAAATAGAGATGGTATAACACAACATTTATGTACTTTAACTTTTCAACTACAAAAATTGGACAAAACTATTGTTTCAAAGTTGGTTAAGTGCCGGTTTGACATCGTTTATGCTGAAAGAGGTAGAGATTCAAAACTAATTGCTAGCACTAATATAGATAAACTACCGCATATCGCCTTCTATCGAGAGAATAATAGTGACATTTTCATTGAACTTTCTTAAGCAAGGCAGCCAAAAACAATCACAAGAAGTCAAATTTCTATGCAAATAACACCATGCTTTGAGATGCATTAGCTGCATCAATTAAGCCAGATTATGTGGGCATGAAATAAAAGTAACAAATAGCTATCTGGGCAAGAACAAAATAAATTGTATTTGAAGGACAAATAAATGTAGTTTCTTACCCAAAAAAATGTAGTTTCTTGAGGGCAACCCAAGTAGTGATAAACCTTGTTGGTCACCTGTCCCACTGGTATTGGAAGAGAGGGTTACCTACTGACTTTGGAAATTCAACCATTAAAAAACATACTTAGGGAAAATTACCCATTGACCACCTTAGATACACCCTTATCTCACATTACCCTCCTCAATTGTTATGTTTTTCATATTATACCTTCAATTAAGATTGCTAGTTTTACATTGTTTCAATTACACATGTCCATTATAAATTGAAAATAGTTATGTCACTTTATTCCGTGAACTCTGTTTAGAAGATTTAATGACACACATACATTTTTTGTTTAAAATATAACATATGTTTAGTTTTGGAACAATGTAAAAGTAAGTCTAACAGTTATAGGTACAATGTGAAAAACTCAACAGAAACATGGATGAAGCCGGATAGGGTTATAGTTTAAGGATGGAAAGCATAATTTTATCAAAATGTTTAGCAAAAACGGTTAGGGGAGGCATGAGCAAAAATTAGCTGAGCCTTCCCAACCAAAAGTTGTGGAAATTGTGGAAGAAACTTTGCCCAATTTGCACTCATAGCCTAGTCCTTTGCCAATATTGGATGGAAAAGCAAACCTTCTGCGGCAAAAGACAATTGGACCAACAATAAGTAAGAAGGATTTTGTTATCCATGGGAAGCTTAGCCAAGCCAACCCTTGAAAATAAGCTTTAACTTGTGAAATTGGTATAACTCCAAATTTACTAATTTACCCAAATACCCTTTTAAAGTTTGCATTTTTGCCCTCCAAATTTGCCAAAAATTAATCATCAAAGGATAAAATTAGGGGTGTCAAAATATAACACGATTCGTTAACACGACATAAACATGACACGAAATTAGAGAATTTGAGTCTTCATTAAGCCAACTGTTTCGTAAATGAGTGGACCTAACACGATACAATTAATAAACGAATCAGATATGTGTAAAGTCAATCAAAAAAAATATACAATACGATTTTTTTATATACCAATTATACATGATTTATACACGACACAATCCGATATGACACGATTTGTTAGACATATATGAATCAAATATGAATAAAATATTTTTTTTACACAAACTCGCTTTACTCGATATAATTGAGAGATGGAAAACCAACTTTAATGTTATACAAGGCTAAAAGAGCCACATCGAATCCAAATTTGGAAGTGACCTAATTAATTGGAGATTAAAGATGCGAGACATCAAAGACGGGATATATCTCATTGCCTCATAATGGCAATCATTCTCTCTATATAATTGTATTGTATGTACTCGTCTAAAGATTTTGATAAGTATAGCCTTTAACTCCAAACTATAACTCAAGTGGCAACAGAGACGAATTATAAATTTAAAGTTCTGAGTTTAAATATTGAAAATTTCTTAGGACTAGATAACGAGAGATTTATCCTTCATAAATATCATAATTTCAACGTGGATGCCCTGCTTTTGACAAAACCGAAAAAAAAATTAGTCGAGGTACGTGTAAACTCCAAACAACCTAATTCTTGAAAAAAAATAAAATAAAAGGAGATAACTATAGCCTTCTAGGTTACCTAATTAAAAAAAATTGAAAAAAAAAAATAATTCGAATAATTGAATGACATATCTCTCCTCATGCCAGCATGACAATGTGAATTTATTGGTAACCTAACACCTTGCATATGGCTAACTGTATGATAGCTTTAAATGCTGCTTGTTGGTGCAGTTGCTGAATATCCTAAACTTTCACTTAACAATAGGATACACATTCAGAGAGAGTGAGAGAGAGAGAGAGAGAGGGAGAGAGAACTCTCTGCTTCTTCCTCATCTTGTGCACATGAATACCAGTGAATTAGGGCCTGTTTGGAAGAGAAAAACAGGAGGGATGACCAATACTACAACTCTCTTGATCCCCTCAGAAACTGCAGTGAAGGACAAGAACAAGAACAAGAACAAGAGCAAGAAGAAGAGAGAGAAAGCAGAAAGATCATATGGGCTTGTGTCATTTCAGGAATTGCCAGAATACATGAAGGACAATGAGTTTATATTGAATTACTATAGAGCTGAATGGCCTCTCAAAGAAACTCTCTTCAGTATTTTTCGTTGGCATAATGAGACCCTTAATGTCTGGACGTACGTATCATCTTCTCTTCTCTCCATCCACAAACTTTTCATTCCTCCTTTTCTCTCCTGAAATATCATATTTTTATGGGTTTTTCACATTCTTATTACTTTTTTAGTGTTTGGTATATTTTTTTTTCTCAATTCTTCAAATTTTAATGGTTTTTTTTTCCTTCTCATTAGTTTTTTTTTATTTCTTCAAATTCTTTTTATTTCTAAGATATTTGATTTTAATGGGGGTTTTCTTCTTTTTAAACTTTTTTTTTTGGATGTGTCATCATCCTTTTCATTCTTTTCAGTAGTCATCCAGATCATCTCTTTGACAATTACACATTCATTGGGATTGATTTTTTTAATAAATATTTTTTTTTCTTGTCTTTGTTGCTGTGATCATGTTCTTATTATCATTTATTTATATTTGCAGGCACTTAATTGGGTTTATTCTGTTCTTGGGATTGACGTTTGCTAATTTGATGCATGTGCCCCAACTGGCAGATTTCATTACAATATTCACAAGGTATATTCAAGAATTTTTGTTCTTGTCATTTACCTTTGTACAATTAAGATTTAGCAGTACGACCAGATTTTAGGTTCACATACGCATGGGTTATATGATGTAACCCTATTTGCACCATTCTAATTGTGCTGAAATTCGGCCTCTAAAATTTGTCTCAAATTCAAAGCGTTTGGATGCGACAACTTGTCATAAAAAATAATAAACCAAAGATAAAATTGTCCATGAAACATATAAATAATTATTCGGTTGTACAAATCCCATGAATTTACTTGTCTTGATTAAAATTAAATCCTAGAATAAATAATATAGCGTAGAATTTTCCTTTATATTAGACAAATAAAATAATTTAAAGCTTGAGTACCCCTATTTTCCCTGGGATTGTGCATAAATTTTGGATGAAATGTTGTAAAAACAAACCGAAAAAATGTTTTCTTGATGCATTTTCATTTGGAAAGATTTTGTGGAATGGTGTTTAGTCTACAATGTTACTTGTTTGCAGGCATTTTCCCACAAGTACAGAGGCAAATTTCTCTCACAATTCCAAGGAATTTTTGCTGGTAAGTTTCTTCTTCATGACTATTTCATGGGCATTCAGTCTCATATTGTTTGGTAAAGCATGTGCAAAGTGCTTGAAAAGTGTTGTTAAGACTTTCATTATTCAATACATTTTGAAACCTTCCAGACTAGAAGTGACAACTAAGTCATATTACTTTAGGTTCATGTCACGTTTGATTTTACTCATACAATTAGTGAATAAAACAATTCAAAAACCAAGACACCATTATCTCTCAACTAAATCAACCACTCATAATTTTTTTTTTCTTCAAATCTTCATATGCTAAAAATTCACTAAATCCATATTAGGAAAAATTAGTAAAAAATTATTTCATTTTACAAAGATTCATGCCAATTAAGACAAAAATCACACAATTTATTTATAAAATACTAACTAACCATATTTATCGTATTAAATTTAAGTTATGCAAGTTTGACATCAACTTGAACCACTTATTATGTGTTAGCTAGTCGTGTCACTTTCGGGTTCGTATTGAGAACTAATAAATTTTAACTTGCTAATTTCATGTTAGGTTTTTATCTTGTTATTGTGTTGTGTATAAAGTTATTACCCTTAGGGGTCGTTTGGTTACAGTATTAAGAGGTGTGTTAATGAGTCAAAACAAATTAAAATTCTCTAATCTGGTCTAATACATAATGGGCTCGTTTGGTTGCCGTATTAATAAAGAATGTACTGTATTAGGTACTACAAGCTAATTCTATATAGGTGGATAAAATACAAGATTAAATATGAGACAAAAATATTATGCATTGTAATCCAGTGTTTGGTAAGACACTGGATTAAGAAAAAAAAATAGAGTAACAATTACATATTGACTAAAAAATCATCAATCTTGTATAGTTATTAATATTTTTGTTTATCTATTGGATAAAATAATAAATTTACAACTTAATAAGCTTGAATTGGACTATAATACCACCTCCCTATGTGATACTATAATTAGTTTAATAATATGGATACAGTGTATTATTTGGATAAACAATGTATTTTTTGGATAAGAATTTAAAATAATACTATATATTTACAACCAAATGCTGTACAAGGTTGAATTAGAGAGCTTCAATTTTTTGACTCTGTAATCCACCCTTTAATATTGCAACCAAACAAATCATGTATGCATACCCGAAAACATAACACATACTCATGTCCATTTACTCTACATGTAGATTTTACCTAATAAAATCACTGTTGCAGAGACCAACAAAACTCATTGACCTGAAGCAAGAACTGCCATTTCCTATGGACATTACACCACCAGAGGTGGCTGCAACACAGTGGCCATTCTTCATCTTCTTAGGAGGCTCAATGTTCTGCCTCCTCTCAAGCAGCATTTGCCACCTCTTCTCCTGCCACTCCCACCACCTAAATCTTTTACTCCTCCAAATGGACTATGTTGGCATAGCAGTCATGATAATCACCTCTTTCTTCCCCCCAATTTTCTACATATTCCAATGTGACCCCCACTGGCAATTCATCTACCTTGGTGGAATCACAGTCATGGGCATTTGCACCATCATCACACTCCTATCCCCCGGGCTCTCGACCGGGAAATTCCGGTCCTTTCGGGCCTTGCTGTTCGTGTCAATGGGACTGTTTGGGCTCGTTCCTGCAATTCATGCTCTCGTGGTTAATTGGGGTGAGCCTCAGCGCAATGTCACGCTTGCTTATGAATCGGCCATGGCAGTGTCGTACTTGGTCGGGGCGATGTTTTATGTTGGCCGGATTCCGGAGAGGTGGAAGCCTGGTTGGTTTGATCTTGCAGGGCACAGTCATCAAATATTTCATGTTTTTGTGATCATGGGTGCATTGGCACACTATGGTGCTGCACTTGTGTTTCTGGAGTACCGTGGCAGAATTGGATGTGACAGAAATATTTGAGGATGTTACTTAAATGCTTATTAAGCATACGAGACAACGAGTTTAAACAGGATCCATAGTATAAATGCGTCTCATGATGAGTGATTTATTGAATCGAATTAAGAAAAAGTGTACCGGGAGAGATGGGATTTGGGTGTATAATTACCCATACAGATGGGTTATTCATTATTTATTTATTGTATAAGACTAGAATACTTTGAAATGTAGCTATTTGTGATGAGATGATTATTAGTGGATTAAATATATAAGTAATTCAGAAAATGTATTCAACAATAGAATTCAGCCAAATTAAACAGGACAGCAGCCAAATTTCATGCCATTTTTACTGTTAACTTTAAGCTTGATAATTTTAAGTATAATTTGCAAATTTGCTCTCTAAATTTACATGAATTTAGACTTGGTCTTATTCGACATTGATTCCTCGTTTTTTAAAACTTCCAACGAAAACCACCCAATTGAAGGGATTGTCAGATTTTTATATTTCTAAGATCAATAAAATAGGATTTTGCCATTCTAAAACATGAGATTCTATGGACTCTATGATAAATAGATACTAATATAGCAAGAAAAAAAGGGAATGTGTTATGTGGTCAAATTTGAGCTAAAATTTAAGTAGGATTCACTTATTAAATTTGGGGTCGTTCTACATTGGAATGTGTTCTCTTCCGTGTGGAGATTGACGTTGTGTATTCAATTGTTTAAATCAAGTTAGATGAACGAGAAAATCAGTCCCAAAATGATCTATGTGAAAGGTATAAATTAGTTTGACGACAAAAGACTTGAATGAACTTAGGTTCAATCACACGTGCACGTTGCTCGTGCCCTGCCGAGGTTAGGTTAAATATAAATTTTAGTTTTTGGGCAAAATTTGCTTAGCAAACCAAGCTTTAAGTTCTTAATTTAAAATTTTAAGTTCTTAAAGCTTTACAGAGTTACCAATCTTTCTTCCTTTGCAGGTGTATGTTCGTCGCCCTCGTTCTCATCACCCTGCTGATGTTCCCTCTACCTCAGGCGATACAGGTAATACTTCTCAGTTTGTTGAGTATATTAATGCACCTGTTGTTAGTACTGATGAGATTGCAGGTGCTGAGCCAATTCATTTACCTGATGAGACATTATCAGTGGAGGAGTATGATTTAGGGCGTCATTATCCACGGTGTGATCGCCGTCTAGTTGATTGTTATGGTTGGATCGTCAGGATTTTATATCCGATCTCTGCTTATGTTTCTTATGGTGATCTGTCTCCCACATTTTGAGCTTATACTATGGCCTTATCAGATACGCCGGTTCCTCACTCTATTTCGGAGGCTATGCGGGAGCCCCAATGAGTTGTTGTCATGCAGACAGAGATGGACACTCTTCAGCGTAATCATACATGGGATCTTGTCTCCTTACCTTCAGGGGCGAAGCCTGTTGGCTGTCGCTGGGTTTACACTCTGAAATTTCTTGCGGATGGTACTACTGATCGTCACAAGGATAGACTTGTGGCGAAGGGCTTTACTCAGGTACCACCAGTTTTTTCCAAATTTGAAGTTTGCATTTGTTCTTCAATGGGTACTTTTTTTTTTGGCTATATGTTATGTTATTTATTTATTACTTTATTTCACAATATGTATCATTAGAGAGAAGAAGGATTGAGAAACCTCCCCCCTACATTTCCAAAATTTTTAGAGCTTCAAAAAATTTAATTATCAAATTAAAGGTGTGTTTGTTAACTCAAATTCAGCACTTAAAATGAATATATTTGACACTTATTAATTAAACGCGTTTGATAACTAAAATTTTAACGCTCCTAATATGTTAAGTGTTCCTTTAAAATAGACTACAATATTAAGTAGGAGATCCTTTACTTAATTCTGAAAGCTGAAAACACACAGTAAAATCATCTTTAATAATATTTATAATATGATAATTATAACCATAAATATTTTACAATCTTATTAATACTCTAATTAGTGTTATTTCTGAAACTCCTAACTTTTCTATCCTCCTTGTCAATTGTCTTCTACAAATAATTGATGTTCTTTTTTTTTCCTTCACTCGTATGTGCAAATAACACACATCCACACCACACACGCACACCCACCCACCCACCCAAAATCAGAAATTGCACACACACATATATTATTAATAAGATTTAATTCATTTTATTTTTTTAATTCTATTATTCATTAATTTTTTTATTTATTGTTATCCCATTATTTATTAGTTATTATTTTTTTATCAGATATTATTGTTCGCTTATTGTGTAATTTAATTTGTTATTGTTCGCTTATTGTGATTCAATTATTTGTTTATCATTATTCTTTTTCTTTTGATACGATGTTATTATTCAGTTATTATGTTATTCAATTTGTTATTGATTTGATAGATTGTCATTTTTTATTAGATAAAAATATATTTTATAAATATTTTTAAATTAAAGAATGAAAGGGTAAAACTAAAAATTAATTTATTTTCGGATGTCAGTTCTGTGAAGTTATCAAACAGTTTGATTTAATTCAGTACTTAAATTTCAGTATATATCAAATAGTCCACAAATTTAGTATTTCAAATTTTAACTTTCAGTTTTATCAAACACTACGTAAGTCTGTCTCCAATCACATTATACCATATAACATTTATAACAACTTTTCAACTCTATTAACTAACCATTATTTTAATTATTTATTATTATTATTTTCTTATCTAACGATTAGGTGGAAGAAAATAGAAATCTATAAAATGAATTTAAAAAAAAATGATGAAATCTATTTGCATGGGTTAGAACGCTAGCACTACCATATATGTAGCATTCTCCCATAAAATCCTATCAGGTTGAAATAATAAATGAAGACCTATCAACTCTACCAAATACGAATACAACATAATATAAAATGTACTAAAAGTTATTAGTAGACATTTTGTGCGATGTACCAAATTTATTATGTCTTCTTATTATTATCTTACTATTAAATACTCTATTACCATAGTATCTCTAGACAATTTCTATTAGTATTAAAATGATATTTATTTATATTTTAAATAATTAAGAAAGATGATTAAAAGATTAAACTTAGAAGTAGTTTAAAAAAATAATGAGAGTGATTACAAATGACACATAATGTTTTGATTAATATAAACTAATTAAATATTTTAAAATTCTAATAAATTAGTATTTAGGGAGAAAAACCTTCTGAATGCTTCGCATTCTTAATTTGATTATTTTATGGTATAGTAAGATATAAAATATAGTATAGTAAGATACATGATATTAATTGACATTATTCAAATTTAATAATAATTTGAGCAATGTTATAAAGACTTAATTCTATGCAGTTATTACAGTAATTATAAATTTTAATATTAGATAGAATTTATTTTCAATTCAATAATTTGTCTCGACATTAAATTTAAATAACATTTTCTTAATCCTAATAATCTACTATCAATTCAAGAAAAAATAAAAAAAAATTGACATGTTACAAAATTGAAGAACACCTCCAGCCTAACCTCTTGCTTGAAAAACTCCGCCTCCGGTAGAGATCCTCTGCTGTCGGGGTCTAACAATAGATTTTGCTGTGAAGTGGGACGACATAGTTTTGGGACCAATTTGCTCCAGCGAAAAAGACGACAACGAATGACGTCGTTTAACTCGTTTGGCTTTGAATCCGAACGACATCGTTTGCTTCCCCTCTCGTAGATTAACACACAGTCGATTTCTCCAAAAATCAAACCCTTGAAAATCGTTGTTCGTTACCTTCTCCAGCCAAACGAAATCCTAGCAATCGTCTTCCTCGTTGTGATTTCAAACCAGACCAGTTGTTGAGCAACTATAGGACCATGAAGTTGAAGATTTTTAACCTCGAATCAACGATATTGCACCATGAAAGTTTTCCCCAAAATCACGAAGCCTTAGATCAAGAACCATTTCATTTGACATCCGACGTTAAAATCCCAGATTTGATTTCTTTTACGCCAAAAATCTCCTAATTTTGTTCATCGTAAGTTGTATATGTATATAATGAAGTCAAAATTCTGATATTTTTCCCTTTGAAAATTTGTCAATTGGAGATTTTGCCTATTCAATTGTGGACGCTTATATTCAATTGTTCATTGTGGATGCTGATATTCATTTGGAAATTTTATTCGTATGCATATCAAGTGTGGATGCTTAAAATATGCACGTTATATCTTTAAAAAATGCCTACGACAAACCTAGTGTAACTTATGACAGAAACCATCTGTCTCAAAAACCTTGTTTGATGTAAAATACACCATCCATATTGACAAGAAACTAGCAACATATGCATATTCTTATTGTAATTTTTATTAGATTGATTTGTGTTATAATTTTGATTCTTAGTGTTGGGCATTTTCTTTCAACTTATACTACCATTTTCATTTCTTGTTGCAGTGTCAAAGAATGGCATCATCAAGCACATAAGCAAGTAGCGGAGGTTTATTTCAATTGTCATGTTGGTGAATGCAGCTTCTTTGTGTGGTTGGATCCTACTTATCATTTTTGTCCTCAAGAGTTAATGAAACACAAAGAGTTGAAGCTAATGAATCTCGTAGAGTTGAAGCTAATGAAGTGCAAATGATTGAAGCTAATGAAGCTATTTGGAAACATATAGTCGTGCTTTAATTTACTAGCATTGGTTTTGATTGTAATGCCAAAATAATGTAACTTGTTTGTAAGAATGTTAGCAATGTGAGTTGATGATGATGTAACAACTTATTTTCATTTATAGAACTAATTTTTGGGATTTCATGAATGAATGTGAATTGTTGGATGACATGAATTAATGTGAATTGTTGGTTCAACATGTTGTGTTGGTGTATTGGATAAAGATGGTGGATGACATGAATGAATGTGAATTGTTGGTTCAACATGGATTGCAAGTGTATTGGTTAATTTTGGTGGATGAGAAATACACATTGAGTACCATAAATCAACTATAACAAAAATTGTACTTGTCAAGATAATAAAAACACATTGAACACCATAAATCAACTATAAAAAAAAATTGTACTTGTCCAATGTTACAAATACACATTGAACATCATAAATTAACTATAACAAAAATTGTACTTGTCCAACATCCCAATTGCATATTGAACACCATAATCTTGCAAGATAACAAGTACACATTGGCCACCCAACAACTTTGTTTCACTGTCCACCTCGATTCTCGTCATTGAAATAATCTTGATGTTGTCCAAGAAGCATGATTTAGTATCTACTGCAATTCCCTCTTAAAAAAAAGGGTTTTACTTAGAAGTTCAA